GTAGAACAAACCTCAAAATAGTAAGAGCCATCTACGAGAAACCCACAGCCAGCATACTCCTAAACAGACAAAAATTGGAACCATTTCCCCTGAAAACTGGAACAATAAGAATGCCCACTCTTACCCCTCCTGTTCAACATAGTTTTGGAAGCCCTAGCTACAGCAATCAGAGAAGAGAAGGCAATCAGGGGTATCCAAATAGGAAAAGAGGAAATCAAGTTCTCTCTCTTTGAAGACGACATGATTGTATACTTTGAAAACCCAAGAGAATCTGCCAAAAACCTCCTTGCACTGATAAAGGACTTTGGCACAGTCTCAGGGTATAAAATAAATGCGCAAAAGACAATCGCATTTCTATACACCAATAATAAACAAACAGAAACCCAAAGAAAAAGCACAATTCCATTCACAATAGCCACACAAAAAAAATGAAATCCCTTGGCATCTTCCTAACCAGAGATGTGAAAGACCTTTACATGAAAACTACAAAACTCTGCTCAAAGAAATCAAAGATGACACAAACAAGTGGAAAAATATTCCATGCTCATGGATTGGAAGGATCAACATTGTTAAGATGTCCATTTTACCTGAGGCAATCTATAGATTTAATGCAATATCCATCAAATTACCAGCAGCATTCTTCTCTGACCTAGAAAAAACAATACAGGAATTCATATGGAAACATAAACAACCAAGAATAGCCAAAACAATCCTCAGCAAAAAAAAAAAAAAAAAAAAAAAAAAAGCAGGAGATATCACACTCCCAGACTCTAAACTTTATTATAAACCTACAAAAATCAAAACAGCCGGGCTTGGTGTCTCAGCCTGTAATCCCGCACCTTTGGGAGGCTGAGGTGAGTGGATTACCTGAGCCCATGGGTTCAAGACCCGTCTGGGCAGCAAGACCTCATCTCTACAATAAATCAAAAAATCAGCACATGCCTGTAATTCCGGCTACTCGGAAGGCTGAGGCGGAAGGATCGCCAGAGCCCAGCAGGTCGAGGCTGCAGTGGCCGGGAGCGGCCACTGCACTCCAGTCTGGGTGACAAAGTGAGACTCCCCCCAAAAAAAAAATCGAAACAGCCTGGTACTGGTACAAGAATAAGCATATAGACCAATGGAATAGAATTGAGATTCCAGAAGCAAAACCTCAATTTCTCAACCAACTCATTTTCGACAATTCCTCCACCACCCACCACTGGGGAGAGGAGAATCTATTCAGTAAATGGAGCTGGGAAAACTGGCTGACCACATGCAGAAGATTGAAACAGGACCCAGGACCCCTATCCATCCCCATACACAAAAATTAACTCTAAATGGATCACAGACCTCTAACTGTAAGAACCTTAGCAAATGCGGGAGACACTCTTATGGAAGTTGTAACTGGCAACCAATTCCTGATCAAAACCTGAAGTACCCAGGCCATGAGAGATAAGATAGACAAGTGTGACCTCATCAAACTGGCAAGCTTCTGCAAAGCCAAAGAAACCATCAAGATTGCAGGGAGACAGCCCACAGACTGGAAAAAAATATTTGCCCTACTTCATGTCTGACAAAGGCCTGACATCAAGGATTTACAAGGAACTCAAATATGCTGAAAAGAAAAAAAAAACAGCCCATCACAAAGTGGGAAAAAGATATGAATAGACACTTCTCAAAAGAAGACATACGAGCAGCCAACAGATACATGAAAAAATGTTCAGTCTCACTAGTCATCAAGGAGATGCACATTGAAACTACACTGAGATTCCATCTAACTCCAGTTAAGAGCCATCATCAATACTTAAAAAATAACAGATGCTGGAGAGGATGTGGCAAAAGGGGAATACTTCTACACTGTTGGTGGGAGTGAAAACTAGTTCAGCCTCTGTGAAATCAGTGTGGCAATTCCGAAAAGTTCTAAAAATCAACCTTCCATATGATCCCGCAATCCCACTACTGGGAATATACCCGGAAGAACTCAAATCACTCTATAAAAAAGATACCTGCACATGTATGTTTATCCCACCATTGTTCATAATAACAAGAACATGGAACCAATCATGCTGCCCATCAAAAGAGGACTGGATTTTTTTAAAATGTGGTACCTATACACAATGGAATTTTACGCAGCCACAAAGAACAAAATCATGAACTTTGCAGCAACCTGAATGGAATGAGAGTCTATAATACTGAGTGATCTCTCACAGAAACAAAGAGCTGAGTATCATATATTCTCACTCATAAGTGGACCTTGAACAACTACCGTAATACTATAAGAAAAGGATTGACAGTAGTGGGAAACTGCGGCAGGAGGAGGGTCTGGGAGGTGGGATTGACAGTAGTCAAGATCTGCCTGGGGAAGGGGAGGCACACCTCATTAACAAGGGTACCTGCACAATGAATATTTGTATACCTCACCCTGAATTGTACCCCACAATTTTAAAATTAAAATTAAAAGAGGAAAAAAACAAAATAAAATGAGACATAAACCAACACAGTACACTAAGTATAATGTTTCTAAGAGTATTAATTATTAGATCTATACCATTAAAATACCAGGACTGCCACACACAAAAAAAATGTATACACATTTTAAGCGATGTTATCCGTGTATTACTTTCTGAAGTAGGATTGAAGTAAGAGTAGCAATCTGTAGTATGACTTTCACTCAAAAGATGACATTCATCAGATGAATGCTAGTGTCATCGTGCAACAGTTAGGACAGTCAAAGGAAACAGCAGAAGCATGGTTGCCATTCAAAAAGCACAGGACCATTTTGGAGTTGTATTGGCAGTAGCAGGAAGCTGCCAGGGAATGGAGGGGGACACACAACTCAATAAGTTATCTGATCTCAAACCAGGCGAAGTGGGGACCAAAGGGAGGCCCAAACTTTACCTACACGATGACCACGTGTATATCTAATCCTGAATTGTAACCCACACCTTTAAAATAAAATAAAAAATAAATCCGAGAACCTCGTGGAAGTACAAAGACAACGGAGGCGTGAGTATGCAAAAGATCTTCCAACACGCCTAACAATTGCGTGCATTCATGACAAGTTTGAGACGCACCGTACTCTATGTCATATGCACAAGGGAAGATCCAGGAGGTCTCACACAGCCATAAGTATATTTGGCCGTAATCAGAAGTGTCTGGGTGATGATGGTAACATCTGAGCGCCTCTTGTGATTGCGGAAGTCAAACGTGACTTGTATTTATCTTTTGTTACTGATATGGATCAAGTACTAAATTTTAACACAGTGTTTTCCTTTCTTAAAATGTGTAGGCATTTTTATGGCACTCTCTGTATTATTAGCAAGAAGGTAGGTTTCCATTGAATCCTCTTAGTCCTGTAGGATAGCCAAAACAGATCTACACACATCAATGGCTTAGCGTCAAAATACAAATATAAACTCATCTACACACACCTCCCCCTCATCCTTCCTTCTGCCTCTGATGCCAACTAACAAACAGGTCCTGACGCACCTTGCTCAGAGGTGGTTTAACAATTCCTTGTCCAAGATGCAGGTTTTCTATCAATTATAGCAAAAAGATATCTATTACTTGGCTAATTCACTAGCTCTTTTTTAATCATACATTGACACAGTTTCCTTTAAATCTTGCTTTTATGATCTTATTGTGCAGAAATGGTAAAATAATTAGGCCTATTTATCTTTGTTTACTCTTTCAGTTCTTCTCTTGGTAATGAACAAGAAAGAGTTCATCTTATTTTCTTTTTTTTTTTTTTTTGAGTCAGAGTCTCCCTCTGTCTCCCAAGCCGGAGGGCAGTGGCATGCTCATGGTCACCACAGCCTCGACCTGCAGGGCTCGAGAGATCCTTCCGCCTCAGCCTTCCAAGTAGCTGGAACCACAGGCACACGCTACCACACCCGGTTAATTTTTTGATTTATTGTAGAGACGAGGTCTCGCCAAGTTGCCCAGGCTGGTCTCGAACCCGAGGGCTCAGGCAATCCTCTCCCCTCAGCTTCCCAAAGTGCTGAGATGATAGGCATGAGCCACCGCATTCGGCCCATCCTATTTTCATCTAGTCTATAAATATTTATTAAATGCCTAATTTGAGGCATGGGGATACAGTAATCAAACTAATCTCTCTGTTCTCATGGATCCCCCAGTCAGACGGGGAACACAGAAAATAAATAAACAAATATACACTGGAAGGTCGGGTGGTGATAAAAGCTGTGATGGCACAATGCAGGGTGAGGGGACAGAGAGGGACAATAGGAAGTTATCCTTTAGGAAGGCCTCGGAGAAGATCGCATTTGAGCAGAGACCTGAACAGGTGCAGGAGTGAGCACACTGATTTTCTTGCCATCTGATTTTTTTTTTTTAAGTAAACCCATTTATCTACCAGGAATTTTTTTTGGCGGGTGTATGACATGAAAGAGGTTACATGTTCTCAGTGTGTATGCAATTATCTCAGTACCCTTCCTTCTCTTCATGTTCAGAAATGTTATTATGAAGTTGGACCGACCTATCTCTCAGTTCACTCAGATGTTCCAACGTGTATTTTTCTGATGGTCCACTCTCTTTTAATTGATGTGGTTTTTTTGTTTTTGTTGTTGTTGTTGTTTTGTTTTTTGGTTCTCTCTTTCCAAAGAGGTCATCAACTCTTGCTGAGTCAGCACTTCTAAATTCTCCTTTCCAGTCTCAAAATGAAATTGCATCTTCCTGAAAGGCAAACTGTATCTTAACCCAAGGAACCTCGCCAATGTCAACTTTCAATACATTTTTGTTGAATGAATGGATGGATTTCCAAACTCATGCAGATGTTTTCCACTCTTATTTAGGCCTAAGGGAGCCTCATGCTGTTAAATCAGTCACACCCCACCCACAGACACATATACTCCTGTCATTGACTTTAAGAAGAAAAAGAACGTAAGACGATAATTCTTTATTACAAACCTACTATAAACACAGCAGTTTTGTGAAACAACTGAGGAAAAAAACAGAGCTCCTCAAAAAGCCACAGCCGCTTCCATGACATAGGACATACGTAGTTTGTCTTTGAATTATTTCATTCTGTTTATTTTACTTGGGATAGGATTGAAAGTCTTGATGGCAGGTCTTCACCCTGGTCAGACTGTAGCTTTTCCGATTCTGTGTTTACACCGTCTGTGCATCCATATTCCCCCCAAAACCAAGAAGACCAGCAAAAAGGGAGCCAGCACCACCTTCCAGGAGAACATGGAGGAGGCTGTGGAAAGAACAGAGTCACATCAGGGGTTAAACCATCTCTTGCTGCAACACAGGACAGAGTAGAGCTGGTGCACAGAACAGAAAAGAATTCAAGCTTTTTTTTCTTCATAAACGTGTATTGATTCCCAGAAAAACCCATCCCTCACACCAAGATCAAGGATATTTGAGAACGACGCCCATGGCATTAGAGAAACAAGCAAGACAGGGAAAAATCTGTTAAAAAAAAAAAGAAACGGCCCAAGTAAGGGGCAGATGTCAAGGATCTAACTTTGTTCCACCAGCAGGACAGTGCACATTTAGGATGCTGTCTGTTTACGTCTCAATCAGCCAACTGTGACACAGCCAGGGAACATTCTGCCCCTTTCCAATAAGCATGGGTTTCATGAGGATCAAATAAAGTAGCAAAGGAAAAGAAAACAAACTTTAAATAAAGGAGCTTTAGGTGCCAAGATTACTGCTTGGATCTAACTATTATATTCCACTCCTTGACATCTCTGTGTTACCGAAATGCAGGAAGCAACTATGAATAAAAAGTTATCAGAGTGTTATTAGACACACTGTTGATGAGACTAGAATTCTGCATTTTTAAGCTGTTACTTGCCAAGAATCAACAGTCTCAGCCTGTTTCTCTAGAGGGTTCTGACGCCCTAAAATCCCACAAGGATTAGAAATAAGTGAAGCTGTAATTTTCTGAGAAGTCATCTGAATCTGGCCTCCCAGTCCTGGTGAAAGGCTCTCACTCAGTCAGTGCTCTCCGGAATCAGTCCTGGCCAGCCAACCACGAACATGCAGGCACAGGGCTCGTGTTATGGAAAATTTTAAAGGTTGACAGCATCACGACCAGACAAACCACAGGTTTCTTTGGCTCACTAATCTAACCAGAAGGTGGATTCTGTTTTTGTGGGATCCTCCACTTCCAAAACTGGACAACCACCATCTCCTTCTCGGCCTGTATATCCGGCAATGACCTGAAAGACCACCCTTGGCATATATTCCCTAGTTCTCAAACTTCAGTGTGAAAGGAGCTGTTGAACTGCCATCCTGGGACTCTCTCCAAGAGAATTTGACTGGGCAGGTCTGGGGCGAGCCCAGGGGTCAGCATTTCTAAGGAGTGGCTCCAGCGTGTGTGATGCTGGTGGGGCGCAGAGCACAGATACAGCAAAGCTGTGTCGGGTGCCATTCCCTTCCCTGAGGCTTGGCCACAGCGTGGGCTTTCCAACATACAGTATGTCTGCTGCTGGCTCCCCAGCAAAGCACTGAGATGTGGAGCGATGTGTGTTATGTGATTGCTGCAAGGCTGCCAGGAAGCCATCGCTGAGATTCCAGCTGGGAATCACTTTGGCTTGCCTGCCATTTGCTTCTCAGGCTGTCAACAGAGAGTGCATTAATGGGCCTCCCTCGACTGCTCAGCCACTGAACACTGAGATGGCATCAATTTGGTAAAAAATGATCATGTGAATTTTCCTCTTCTGCTTCCTTCAATGTCCTTAAATGCATGCTGGCTTGATTCGGCTATTAATCTTGTGCTTATTTCCTGTTGTTCAATGGCTTTGACCCTAAAGCTGCCCTGAACCCTGGGTATCTCCCAGGCCCCAGCTCTTGGGGGATAAAACTTCTGAATTTTAGGATAAATAACAATCCACCCTCCTCTAAAGACCACGTGAAGACAGTCTACCTGGTGACCCAAGGCAGTGCCTTGTGAGGACACAGGGTATTTGGAAGTTTATCACAGAACCACTTTATCTGTTCTCCCAAAATCAGCCTGCTAGCAAAACTTTTCATCTGAGCATAATGTCCCAAAGTCCAGCCTCTACCCTACAAAAAAGAAAAAAATCTTTTTAAAAGAAATGGGAGGTTTGCTTTTGGCATTCCACTATCAGGCAATGCCAGAGATTTCCTAAGAAATCATCTGGAGAACAAGTAGCTTTGACTACGATCTATAGAACATTCAACGTGTTTGTGTTTCCCTTGAGTTCCCCAAAATACATACCTTCTTTGACTGTAGTGCGTAGTGTCTGGAAACTCAGCTTATTATGGACAACGCATTTGAAATCTGTGTTCAAATCCTCTCTTATGACTGGATCAAAAATCAATGGCACTTCAATGTAGTTCTCCTTATTTTCTGAATATTCCCTGAGTTAGAATACATTCACTTAGCCATGATGTAGCAAAAGCAAGCCTGTCTTTTACGACGTAGACATCCAAGCATGTGCCGTTAGACACATCCATTGTGCTTAAATCGATTTTGTGTTTCTACACAGTTTGGAGCACCTGTCACCATATTTGTTACTTCTTTGGGAGAGCTTCTCAGCCTATGTCTGAGGGCCCGAGTGGCACTGAAGTTGCTGGTCACTGGAATCGGACTTACAGAAGCCAGTTTGGTTTAGATAATGGAAGGGTTAATTTTTCAAGGCCCTTGATGGACAAAGAACCAATGGTGGGAACAGAAATGCTGAATTTGGGGAAACTCAACTCTCACCAATAAATCATTTCCAGGACTCCAGCTCTCAGGGGTGCCTCCTCTGCTCATCCCTATCACTGACTCTGTCTCTGGAAGGCCAAGTCCAGATCTGAGAGCTGCAGACAGCCCAGGGGAATGGCTCTAATTAGTACAGCTACCATTTATGTTAGAGGAGGCTGAAGACACTCCACCACTATGGATTCGGATGCACAGAAACATCGTTGAGTGGAGCCACCAGGACTATTTTTGTTTTATCTACAGGGGGAAAATAGGCTCCTTTAAGTAAATGGATTGTATGAGCAAGCTGAGATGAGCATTTCATTGTGGCCAGGTCTTTCACAACAAGCGCTTGCAAGCACAAGATTGTTTTAACCACACATGACTTTTATCCACTAAATTACATCCAGAAAGACCTCTTTGGGAAAGTCTTTTAAAAAACAAACAAAAAAAAATTTAGCAAGAAAAGTTCAAGCTAATTCAAAGTATCAAAACTACAATTTGAAAAGCAGTGTATAATTTGGAATGCTAGTCTCCCTTACATGTGAATGGCTCCCACCCATTTTCTAGAGATGACTGCTTATGAGACCTGAATTCTTTCCTTCTCTTATGATTGACCTTCCCTGGAGACCATGGCAGCCCATGGTTCCCTGAGAAACAGAAGAGGCACTGCAGATACTGTGGCCAGGTCTCAGACTTATGGAAACACTGGACAGTGAGGTTGTAGAGTGAAAAATGGAACTCTATTAACTCCAAAATATTTTTGACTTGCAAAAAAGCAATAAGTAAAGTTTCATTAACAGCTACAAAATGCAATATCAATACTAACTCTTCGACCGCAACACGACTCTTACATAGCTATGAAGTTTGATTTGTTTGTTTGTTTGTTTTGGGGGGTTTTTTTTGAGTTAGGGTCTCTTTCTGTCACCCAGGCTGGAGTAAAGTGACACAGTCACAGCTCATCATAGCCTCGACTCCTGGGCTCAGGCGACCCTTCTGTCTCAGTCTTTCTGCAGTAGATGGAACTACAAGCTCGTGGCATCATACTTGGTTAATTTTTTTTAAATTTTGTAGAGACGAGGTCTTGCTATGTTGCCCAGGCTGGACTCAACTTCCTGGGTCTCAAGCAATCCTCTCACCTCGACCACCCCAAAGTGCTGGGATTACAGGCATGAACCACTGTGCCAGGCCTGATTCTGGAGACAATTTTGAGCAAAACTCGGTTTTTAACATTCTAAAAAAGTCTAACAGTTTGGAACCTTCAGAGTTAATTCTAATGTAGCATGTGTGTCATATGGATAAACCGGATGTGACACTGTCTCCAGAAGGAAGAGCAAAGTCTTCACAGGGCTTCACAACAGAAGACCCTTGCCCACTCACTGGCGCTGTCCTTCAGTCACTCGGCCTCCCTCGTAGATGCTCTCTATGTGGGTGTCGTTGGCCGTCCACCACAGCTGGGTGGTTAAGGGTGTGCCGGCTCCCAGAAACACCTTACATGGGATGATCAGTCTTGACCCTGCGGACAGCAAGACACAGCACTCAACCGTCAGAACCCAGCACCTCACATTCGTCACCACACCTGAGCAGTAGACCCTTCCCGCCTTCCCAGACACCCTCATCAGCCCATTCTTAGTCTTTCTCAAACCATTCTGGCCACACGGAGCTTTAACATTTACCAAGTGCCTCCAATTCCTTCAACGGGTCTCCACGGCAGAGACCAGGAGGCATATGGAGCTCAGTGGCTCCATCAAGGTCACCCATGTCTTGCGAGGTAGTCTGACTTCAAGGGCAGCTTTCTCCTACACCCATTCTAGTCACCTCAAAAAATCCAGATCAATGTGCAGATTCTTTTTCTTTGCCCATGGCTGGGCTCAGCTCTACTATTTTCCCTTGGAGTTCGCCATTCCCAGACGGCTGTCACTGAGGATGATCCTTTTCAAAGCCCCTGCATTTCCTACGGATGGCGCCCTCTGCAGTTGTGCAGCGTGATGGTTCTGGGTTCCTACCTTAATCACGGCAAGTTACTTTTCTCTTTAAGTCACCAAAGAGGAGGAGAGAAGAAATCCTTCCTACTCGTTTCCTCCTCCTGGGTGAAGTGCCTGTCTGTGGTGTGTTTTTTAGTGCCCCTGGCTCAGAAGGCCAGCTTGTCTCTGGCCTATGCTACCCCTTCTAACCTTAAAGATTTCTCTCAGCAGAGCAAACCATTTGGTCAGTGTCCTGTGTCTGCCATACCCACCACAGTGTATTCAAAGCAACAGACTGAGAGGTGGGTTCCACTCAGCTGGGAAGCACAGAGGAACCGGAGTTCTGGGACTCCAGTCAGCACCAACTGGTGTCCCTGCTGCCCCAGGTGTCCAGGTGGCTGTTTCCAGAGCCAAGGTGGCAATGTGGATTGCCACCCACATGCCAGCCAGCAGTCCCTGCAACTTCATTAAAAAAAAAAAACCCTCTATAGCTGCCAATTAGAATTTAAACCTAACACCAAACAGAAGTAAAAAGTAAATAATTTTTTAAGTGCTCTACCATCAGAGCATCAGACCTATGAACCCATTATACAGAAATGAACACACAAAAGGGTGCAGGTTTCACAGGCTCACAGACTTGAGTCTGAACCCCAGGTGACCCTGAGGTGGCTTTTTGGCCTTCACTGAACCACCATGACCCCTTGGGTGTCTTTTCCTTCTGGAAAATGGGAGAAATACAAGCTTTCTACAGGGTCTATGCTGGGGTCAAGGGAGATCCCATTAGACCATAGCAGATGCTGGCATCAGAAGGCTGTTAGTACAACCCACTATAGACTCTCACTGGCCACTAGTGTGACCCGTCCCCAAGTGTATGCTGTCTGGGACAGGATGAGCTACACAGGGGGGAAAGTGGAAAACCCCGCTGGTCTTTTGCATTAACCACTCAACCCGCTGACCAGCTACTCTGGCAACAAGAAACTGTCTCTGACCACTGCAGACTCCACTGTACAAATGGGGTCTTAGAGAGATGCAGCCAAGTTTTGATGATGTGAATTATTTTAAAGACACTAAAGATGCTGGCTATGTAATGAGATTCATGTTCAATCCTCTCATATAGATAATAACTGCTGCCAAGGTGTTCAGATTTCCACATTTAGATTTCGTAGGTAGGGTTTCCTTGAAGCGAGGTATGCCTGTTTTCAGGTGATGCCATTTCTAACAACTCTGGACAAAGGGAAACACCCCTCGCATTGGTGACTCCAGACTCACACACTGGGGTTCGAAGGTCTCTGCATTGAACCCCAAGGGGCAGGTAAGTCAGCAGAATCCCACGCCCTCTGGAACTCTGCAGGCATATGGGGTGCACAGTGTTTGCAGGCCTTACCCAGAGAAGCTGATATGGTCTCAAGGGGGGAAACAATCACAGGAATGGTCGTCTCCTCTGTTTTTTCTAAGGAAGAAGCAAGGAAAGGAGAGTCCATGAGGAAGGTCTTCATTTCAAACCCCATTGTTTGGCTAATTAACTAAATTATCCTTTCCCAAATGGCCAGTCATTGTGAGAGTCAGCCTTTGTCTGGCAAAGGAAACAGACTCTCCATGAAATTGAGAGTCTTTGGCCAATGCCTTTCCCAGCAGAGAGATTACTGGAAGAGGCCACAGTTAAACACACATTCCTCTGACAGAAGGTCTTTGCTCTTTGCTCTGTGAGAAACAATTAACCATTCCCCTTCCCAGGCTTCCTGAACACAATCTTCAGAGTCCTGTTTATGACGTCCACAGAGTAGGTTTTACCCGAAGCTCTACTCGACCTAAAATAACTCCCCCACCTCTTCCAAACACCTGCCACAAAATACTGAAGTTCATCTCTTCAAGAAAAGACTCCGGGACTTGAGACCCACCTGTTTGTAAGGCTAATCCCACACTGGGTGATCAATTCAGTAACCCCAGCCTCGGCCACAAATGTCTTTGTTAATTGAAGAGATAAACTCTTTGGGAGGCAGAGGTGGATCGCCAAGAGCTTAGAACCAGTTTGAAGAAACAGGGCACCGGAAGTAAGCAAAAAACGACAAGGTAGTGGTGGCGAGGGTGAAGAGCAGTGGGTTGTCTCCCCAACTGGCCTCATCAACCTCACCCTCTTCCACTAAAGAGCGTTTTGAAATTCTCATGAATGAGCATCAGACAGCATGGCGGGACAGCCCGAGGGGCGGACAGCTTCTTGACCCTGGCCAAAAAGCCTCTTCCTGCCCTCAAAGTCACATGCTGGGACACTCGAGGGAGAGAAAAACACCTTCGGGACTGGATTCCTCAGTGCTTCTCAGACTTGAGGGTGCACCCGCATCAGCCGGGGGGTTTGCGAAACACAAACTGCAGCCTCACTCCCTGGTGTCCAGTTAGTAGGTCTGCATGGGACCCGAGATTTTGCATGTCTCTCGAGTACCCAGGTGATGCAGCCCTGCTGGTCCAGGACCATCCTTCAAGAACTGCTGAGATACGGGAGCATCACAAAATCCAGCTGATATGTAGGGCGGCCGCCCCCTAGTGTTCCCATGGCGCATGAGCAGGATAGTTGAGGACCCATAGAAAGGTACAGAAGTCCTGTCCGGTCTTGTCTGGGATCAAGGAACTGACAAGAATGAACCCTCACAGGGCTATAAAATAAACACAATCTAGACACTTCAGTTCAAGGAAGAACGTGGTAAAACTGGAATCCCTGGATTCTCTGAGAGAGGTCTTTTTCTCCTCGTGTTCTCCAAGCCTTCTGAAATATTCTTAAAAGGCTCCAACCGTGTTCATTATTCAGTCTATAAAGAATTGTGACATATTCTCCAAGGCAGAGTCCAGGATTGATACACTTTTATGCCCCTTGCACCTGGCTCTCCATGTCCAGCACATGAGCGGTGTGGAGTGAATGTGGAACAAACGTTGAATGCTGACCAACACTTCACAGCATTACTTTCAAGCACAATTCAGTTTCATCCCACACCTGTAACCCCAGCACTTTGGGAGGCTGAGGCAGGAGGATGGCTTGAGCCCAAGTGTTTGAGACCAAGCCTAGGCAATATGGCAAGAACTCGTCTCTACAAACAAATTAAAAAAGGAGCCGGGTGTGGTGGCACACACCTGTAGTCCTAGCTACTCAGGAGGCCGATAAAGAAGAATAGTCTGAGCTTAGGAGGTCAAGGCAATAGTGAGTCGTGATCACTGCACTCTGACTTGGGTGACAGTTGAGACCTCAACTCAAATAATAATAATAATAATAATAATAATAATGAGAGCTCTGACTATTTGAAATCCTGGTATCAATAGCAACTAGACACATCTCAGGAAAGATCAAAAAAGAGAGCGTGATTTCCACTGGATACACCAATGCCTAGCCTTGAAACGGGTTGAAACCTCCAGTGAAATCCCAGTTCCCTAGAATTATCCATAAAATGATGGCAGCTATGTTGTAATGGCTGGCTCAGAGGTGTAAATCTTCCCCAGAGGACTCCGCCAAGGGACTTTTCAAGGACACCGCTGCTTGGCCCTCTCTAGTGATGTGTGCTAGCCTCAATCCACCCTTCCTCGGAACAACACTCTGATTTGTACCTTTCAAAGTGCCACACACATGACATCAGGCTCACAAGGCTGATGCTTTAGGAGAGTTGACACATCTGTTTTCTTTCGCCCTTCATGACAATGACCTTCAAGGAATTCCGCGTGCACCCTAATTGGTTCTTGGCATGCTTGCTACTGGACCAGATGGAAAGGTGCCTCGACAACAAGTACTCACTCTTGATGCGTAGGTCGATACTCCTAGTGATATTGTACCACCGGCCTCCGTGGGCAAACGCCATGACACAGACGTAATAGCCCGCATCCTCTACCGACGCGTTGTAGACGAGCAAGCGTGTGGTGCCGCTCACACTTAGAAATTTCTCATTGTGTTCATCCAAAAGGACAGAATCCTGAAGGGAAAGTGGTTTTGAAGGTTCCATTATGTAATCATACATATCGCAAAAGCTATGAATCACAATCATCATTATCCGCCAATGTTGAATTTGCAACCCAAGAATTGCCCTCGTGTTTACTTTGCCAATTGTGTACTTTGGACATACTTTTAAGAAAGGGGATTTGTTGACATATAAAGCAAATAAAACTGCTGGCTTTGTTTAACCACAATATTCAAAGCCTCTTTGTTTAAGTACATGGGAAAAAAGAGACTAACTCTTCTTTGACAAAGGAGACTGTCTATAATACAAACATTGCCGGGCGTGTTGGCTCACACCGGTAATTCCAGCACTTTGGGAGGTTGAGGTGGGAGGATTGCTTGAGCCTAGGTGTTTGAGACCAACCTGGGCAAATGAGCAAGACTTCATCTCTACAAAAATGTCAAATATTAGCCAGGCGTGTTGGCATGCACCTGTAGTCCCAGCTACTTGGGAGGCTGAGACAGGAGGATGAACTGAGCCCTGGAGGTCGAGGCTTTGATGAGCTGTGATCATGCCACTGCACTCCAACCTGGTCAACAAAGTGAGACTGTGACTCAAATAATAAAAACAAATATATGAATACCCTGACAGCTACCTGTAGGCCTCAGGAATATCCTGGAAGAGCACTAAATAATCATGATGGCTTGGACAACAATGTTTAGAAGAGATGACATTGCAGTGATTACTTTAAAAACCATTTCAGTTTTATGAGGCAGTAAGATAGAGGGAAATTCCTACGAAAAATCGAAATGGGAGAAATGAGTCCACACTTTTCATATGGACACAAGGTTCTGCGTGTTCTCTACAGAAACGAGTCCTTGAGATCAAGGCCTCCAGTAAGTAGGAAGAGCTGAATGGGATTTAAGACAACATTCTAATGAGCACACAATGTTCTCTGGAACATCTCTTTCAAAACCACAATGATCGAAAGCTTGCAATAGTCAAACATAACCTTGAGTCATTTCAGAATCTTACTCTGAGTGGGAATTCAGACAAAATTGAAATAGTTGGCCACATAGCTCATGGAATATTGCTTTACAATGTATTTAATTAAAAGGAGAGAGTTGACCGTTCTAAACAAGAGTGGTCAAATGTGAAGAAAGCAAATAGGGTCTGGCACCACAAGTGTTGCAGTGGTGTATAGAGCCCAGAACCCTGGGTCAAAGTTTTGGCTTTGCCATCTATTAGCCGTGTGACCTTGGAAAACATTACTTATGTTTCCTTCTCCATCAAAGGGGGCTATTAACAGTCCCTACTTCAGTGAGATACATGTCAGGAAGTTTAGAACAGGACTGGACACAATATGTGCTTGGCAATGCTTAGTGTTATCATGAAGAGAAGAAATATTATTAAGCATCACCATGATATCCTTGTCCACACACATTTATTGAGCACTGAACTAAGTGCTTCATACACACTAATCTTTAAAATAATCCAGGTCGTGGGAAATATAAGTTGTCATTTTACGGAGGAAACAGGTTTGAGAGGAGAAGTCTCTCAGCCAAGGCTGCACAACACGTAATGATGGAAAGGGTTCCAAACCCGACCCACTGATGCTAGAGCCTGTGCTCCTTCCTCTCCAAGTAAAACCTTTGATTTGCCATCTTTATGCTCTTCCTAAACCAAAAGAGAATGCATTCTGGAGCTTGGTCAGCTTATTCTTAGGAGCTGGCTACTTTCCTTAAGGAAAATCGTTTCCAATATGAAGTTGATATATGTATATCTTACAGTTTCAACATATGACTGACCCACCTGTGATCGATTAAAGCATTAATTCCTATCAAGGTTTAAACCAATAACTGTACTTTTCAGTGCCAGGTTATAAAAGGGCTGGCCAACTTTTTCAGGAAAGGGCCAGACAGGAGTGTTGGAGGCCTTAGAGCGTGTAGGGTCTCGGTCACAACGTGCAATGCAAAAGCCCCCACAGACAATATATACACAAATGAACAGCTGTGTTCCAGAAAAACTTTATTTATGGACCCTGAAATGTGAATCGTATGTGACTTTCAGGTTATTAAATATTTTTTTAATTTCTTTCATACATTAAAAAACTGAAAGCTATCCTTTGATCATAAGTCACACAAAGGCAGAAGGCAACGTGATTAGGGCCCAGGCCATCGTTCCCCAACTCCTGGTCCCCTTGAGCAATACCTGATGTTCTCACTAGGAATGATTAAAACATCCAGGAATATGTTATACAGTATATATTATATATATAGCATATATATTATATATAGTATATATATAGCATATATATTATATATAGTGTGTATATATATATATATATTACATATAATATATTCAACCAAACATGGAAGCAAATTGTGTTTATATTTACTTCTCTGACCCAAAGATGAGCTGTCATGTGCTTTTAAAAAAGAGCTCTTTTAATATGTGCATAAAGTTGTTATATAAACTAACAATTTTTATAGAAAAATAAGCATAGAAAGCTATTTTCTTCAGCTGTTGTAAATTCTGCATTCCTTTTATATTCTGTCCTCACTGATCACTATTTCAGGGACCTTTACCGCAAGCCACATAAGGACTAATAGAACTTAATCCTGGTCCTTTTAAAGTATTTATATGTAATCCCGCGCCTTTGGGAGGCTGAGGTGAGTGGATTGCCTGAGCCCGCGGGTTCAAGACCCGCCTGGACAGCGAGACCTCATCTCTACAATAAATCAAAAAATCAGCCGGGCATGGTAGCGCATGCCTGTAATTCCGGCTACTTGGAAGGCTGAGGCGGAAGGATCGCGGGAGCCCAGCAGGTTGGGGCTGCGGTGGCCAGAAGCGGCCACTGCACTCCAGTCTGGGCGACAGAGTGAGACTCCAACTCAAAAAAATAAATAAATAAATAAAGTATTTATAATACTGCCATCCCTCCACACCTTTGGAGGATTGATTTCAGGAACCCCACCCCTAAAAGGTAGCAAAAACTATGGATGCTCAAGTCCCTTACATACAAAAGTTTGTATTTGCATATCACCTACTCACATCCTTCCTATGCTTTGAATCATTTCTAGGTCACTTGTAATACCTAACACAATGTAAATGCCATGTAACCACAGTCATGAGTAACTTAACAATAAGATTCATTCTGAGAAATGTGTTGTCAAGTGATTTCTTGTTTTGGTTGTGTAAGCATGGAGTGTAGCTACACAAACCTAGATGGCACGATCTACTACACACCTAGGCTGTGTGGTATATCCTATTGCTGCTAGATGACAAATCTATACAGCATGTGAGTGTACTTGAATACTGTAGGCAGTTGGAACACAATGATATTTGTGTATGTAAACATACAAAGATAATGTGTTGCACTATGATGCTAAGACAGCTATGACATCACTAGGCAATAGGAATTTTTCAGCTCTATTATGATCTTGGTGGACCACCATTGCATACCTAATCCATCACTGAGTAAAACATCTTTATGTACCACATGATTATATTTGTTATCCTGTACTGGGGTTTTGAAAAATAATATTGTATTGTTATTTTATTTGTTTTTTTAATATTTTCAATCCACGGTTGGTTTAATCCTTGGATGTGGAGCCCACAGACACAAAGTGAAGATTGTGTATATGTGTATATGTATGTGTGTGTGTATTCTCTTCAGAAAATGGGTATTTTATATCTTTTCTATGGCTACTAAAAAAAAACATTTTAATGAAATGGCATTTTTTAAAGATGTACCTTGTACCATTGAATCTTCACGTCAGTTTTGTTACGGGTGAATTCACTCAGGTCAGGGCACACTAATACCCCAGAGGTTGACAAAGTTAAAAATTGCGGGTATGAGATGAACGCCAGAGAAGCTTCTGTATTCTCAAAAACCCTGAGCTCAATGGACATTTCGTCACAGTAAGAGGCATTTCTGATTTAAAAGGAAAAAAAAAAGGATGATAAATGGCAAGGAAAAATAAAAGTAAACTACATGAAATTAAGAATAATTTCCCCAACCCCATTAAATTCTGCCTCTGCATTTTCTTAATTAGTACAGATGGTTACCAGCTGCTGATGGTTCGACTTGGGATTGTTTGACTTGACGGCAGGACAAATGCAATATAGAAACTATACTTCAGCACAGGAGTCAATAAATTACATGAGATATTCAGTACTGTATTATAAAACAGGCTTTGTGTTAGATGATTTTCCCCAACAGTAGGCTAATGTTTACGTGTTCTGAGCACGTTTAAAGTAGGCTAGGCTAAGCTATAATATTTGGTAGGTTAGGTTATTAAATGCATTTTTTAATTTAGAATATGTTCAACTTACAGTGGGTTTACTAGTACATAGCTCCATTGTAAGTCGAGGAGCATCTGAATTGCTATACTTCTGTCTCCAATCTTTTTGAATCCTCGGAGGCAAAAAGCATCACAACATAATTGTATGAAAACAATGATATGAGCCGGGCTCAGTGGCTCATCCTGTAATACCGTGCCTTTGGGAGGCTGAGGTGAGTGGATGGCCTGAGCACGTGGGTTCGAGACCCACCTGGGCAGCAAGACCTCATCTCTACAATAAATCAAAAAATTAGCCAGGCGTGGTAGCGCATGCCTGTAATTCCGGCTACTTAGAAGGCTGAGGCGGAAGGATCGCCAGAGCCCAGCAGGTCGAGGCTGTGGTGGCCGGGAGCGGCCACTGCACTCCAGTCTGGGCAACAGAGTGAGACTCCAACTCAAAAAAAAAAAGAAAGAAAACAATGATATGTCCTGTGTTTTTCACAAAGGACTGTCTACAAGCCTGATTCCAGTGCCATCAAGGGCCACTGAAAATCCCCGAGTCCCTCTTGAAAAGAGCTAAAGCCTTCCAGGCTCTGGAGCTCCTTGAACCAAACTCCAACATGCTCCAACTTCGAGAACCAGGAAACCATATCCAAATGGAGAGACAGTTTCATAAAAAGAAAATTCCCTTTGCTCCTCTTAGGAATCACTTTTCAACCAAAGTCTCATGTCAGAAAACTGCTGGAAACTTACTGTAAGACCTATAAAAGATTTTTGTAATACTGAATGAAGAAATTAACTTGGTAAGTTTGGTTGGTTTGTTTCTTTATTATTATTATCATTATTACTTTAAACTACCTATAATTTAAATACCATAATTCTATCAAGACCCGAGAATGGACAGGCACCGTGGCTCATGTCTGTAATTCCAGAGCTTTGGGAGACTGAGGTGGGAGGATCGCTTCAGCCCAGGAGTTTGAGGCTAGCCTAGGCAATATAGCAAGTTTTTATCTCTATGAAAATAAAATTTTAAAAAATTAGTCGGGCAGGGTGGTGCACGCCTGCAGTCCCAGCTACTGCAGAGGCTGAGGTGGGAGGGAGGACCACCTGAGCCCAGAAGGTCAAGGCTGAAGTGAGCCATGACTGTGTCAGTGTGCTCTAGCCTGGGTGACAGAGTGAAACCCTGACTCAAAAAAAACCTAGAACTGGAAAAAGGACAGAAGCAAAATCGTGCCAGAAACATAAGGGAAATGAGTGCAAGGATGAAGACAGTAATTCAAGCTACTTTTTTAAAGTAGAAAAACATAAAAATATAATTATCTAAGCTCCTATAAGTCTTGTGCTACCTAGGATACACAAGACTTAAAGAGGTCATGGGGATGTGCTTTACACAGAGGTAAAAATTCTTTTCAGCCGGGCTCGGTGGCTCAGCCTGTAATCCTGCGCCTTTGGGAGGCTGAGGTGAGTGGATTGCCTGAGCCCGCGGGTTCGAGACCCGCCTGGGCAGCGAGACCTCATCTCTACAATAAAGCAAAAAATCAGCCGGGCGTGGTAGCACATGCCTGTAATTCCGGCTACTCGGAAGTCTGAGGCGGAAGGATCGCCGGAGCCCAGTAGGTCGAGGCTGCGGTGGCCGGGAGCAGCCACTGCACTCCAGTCTGGGCGACTGAGTGAGAATCCAACTCAAAAAAAAAAATTATTTTCACAGCAAAAAGTATAACCATCTACATCCAAAAACGTAATAAAATGTGAAAAATATATGCAAAAGAAATATGATAAAAGCTTGCTACTAGAAAGTAAAAGGAATTAATTCAAATATACAAAGCCAATACTTGTATTATATATCATATTTAATTTTTTAAAGGAAAAAATAGATGAAAAGCATTTATGCATAAAGAAAAGCACAAAGTTAATGCTCACCTCGAAAAATGCATAATTCCATTGCAAATTGAATACAGGCAATGGAGGAAAAGTGCAAAGAACAGTGCACGCTTGGAAATGGTCATGATAGCAGCTAGCTGGCAGGGAGCACATGCATGCCAGACCCTGTGCTGTGGGCTTTGCATACATTGTCTCATTTATTCTCCAGTCCCCTGAGGTGGGGATTATTTTTGCATCCCTTTCAGGTGAGAAAAATTAGGAATCCAGAAATTAAGCAAGGTGTGAACTACTAAGAGGTCAAGCCAAAATGCAAAGCCCAGCAGGGCTCTGGGAAAACCCTTAAGTCAAGACACTATCTCCAGAAACCAAGCTTATTAGACATATCAAGAGTTACAGACCTGTTCACATTACTAATCTGATAATTTCCCTTCAGTAAGACACTCCATGAAAATAACGCCATAAAATAAGAGGGGTAATTTTGATCACCACTCACATTCCCCAGCTACTGTGGCATCTGCATGGCAAAGGAGTGGTAGTCAGTGCTGCTTGCCAAACATGCCCAGTTCCTCCCATTCTGAGCACACAGTGTACCACATGTCCAAGTTCTGCTGTGGGTGAGTATAGTTACTTAACGCTTTCTAGTCACCGAGTTGTATGTGTGGAACTTCTACACCAAAGTTTTAATAGCCATGAGGGATCCTCCAAAGCATGTTTCCTCCTGGTATAGCAAGCAATAACATTTGAAATAGTCTGCTCCCTCAGCCTGAGTTCCTGAGACCCTGGGTGTCTGCCAACCCACAGTAGACTAGTTGCAAGTATGAGAAATAAGGCTTCGTTGTTTTAAGTCGCTGAGGTTTGGAGGATGTATGTTACAGCAGCATAACTTTGCCTACTCTAGCTGACAAAAAGATCATGTGGGTCTAGATCACAAGATCACAGAAATCATGGGAACAAGACAATCCCATGCCTTATGTCTATAAATTCCAAAGAGTATTATGGCATCTGCTGATGGTTCTCACTCTATGAGAACCTCAATCTTACAGTTCAAAGAAAGTCTTCAAGGTCAGCCAGGTAAACTCTCCCACATGCAAAGAAAGTGTGACACACATTAGATTTCTACTGCCCTCTTAATTTCAGCTCTCTTTTTTTCTACAAAAAATTTTTTATTTGAGTATAAAAACAAACTTTAAGGCAAACATGACTCAGCTAACATTTCCCTGATTTTTGCACAATAGTACTTCAGCAGTCATAAAGATGAACTTTGGGGAAGGAGAGGGCATTTTAATGTATATATCAGCCACCACTATGGCACTCCCCATGCTAGATCCTCTACATACTATGATCACACATAACCCTCCAAAAAAATTTATTTACAGGGAAGAAAACTGAGACCCATAAAAATCAAGTAATAAGACCAGGGTCCCACCAGATAGAAAGTGAGAGGGCTAAGATTTTCATACGTGTCTTTATGACTCCAAATTTCGTTTTTTCTTTCTAAACTATTAAGTGTTCCTAGCATAAGGTTTTTTAGAAGCACAAGTTTATAGTAAGTTCATTATGAATTCATTATAAGTTCTAACACTTATCTAGGAGTTATGTAGGTGACTGTTTTCACTGACTTAGGATAAAGATTAATGTTAAGGTTTTTACTTAATTCAATAGTTAAAACTCTAAGTTAACATTTATAAAGTGGGTTTTCACTGAACTCATAATATACTAATCAGACACTTTTATGACAGATCAGCTAAAACAGAAAGCAACCTTGAGGGGCCTGGGAAACATTACTAAAAACTTCTTTTGAGTTCTCTTTAGAAACAAGCACTGCAAGATAAGAGAAAAGTAACGAGGACATCTGGACAAGGGATGCGATCATGGGACTCTGAAGAACATAAAAGCCTAAGATGAGAAAATTCCCGACACATAAAGAAATATACACTTAAAGAAACTTTCTTGAGACATTTCAAGGACTGTAATTTGGGACATTGGACTGAAAGTATCATCGTTGGTTTGATGAATAAGACTTGTTGTCTAAATGCCTATGGGAATCTTGGTTTGTTTGCTACTAAGACCACTAGATGGTAACTTTTAGAAGATATGTACGTAAAGGAATTTTCTTTGTCTTGCCCCTTCACGAATGGTATAAAAGCTCTGTGTTAACTAACATTAAGTGGTCATCTGTTCAGGAAGCAGGTGTCCGAGTATATTATCTTCGTCTTTCGCCTATCCGTCTCTCCTTCAGGAGATCTCACGACCCTTGGGAGGCAGGACCCCGCAATCCACATTTCCCTGGTATAAGAAGAGATGACTTGCCCGCTACTTAGGCAGGGTTCATTGATCGGATTGAAATTGTCCCTAAGTTGCTTATAGTAGAGGCTAGCTAGAGATGGTAATCCAAGCTAGGTTTGATTTGAAAGGATTCTCCACTTCACAGAGAAAGAGGGAGAGAGAGCAAGAAAGAAAGGTGAGAGAGAAAACACGCCTCACTCCATATCCCCCATACCTCCCACACATTCACACACACACGTAACACACACACGTAAATCTCTCTCTCTCTCTCTCTCTCTCTCTCTCTCTACCTGACTGATTTGGTCTGAAATTCTTTCATTCACCAGTAATTCCTTTGTGCTAAGAATATTACTTCCTCTGGTTCTTTCTAAATGTGAAAATCCCTGGTGGCAAATGAGTTCATGAAATTTGGAAGGACTCTGGAGCCAACCGGAGCAAGCAGAGCTTTGGGAGGATAAAAACAGCAACTGGAAAGAGAGGCCCGAAACTATAGTTCCCAATCAGGCCAAGGGTCTGCCCTAACCCTTCCAGAAGAACTAAGCCAGGAAACCTTAACAATCATGAACACTAGGCTAAAAGCTTCAAGACATAACAAGAACATTCAATGGAGAAAGAACAGTCTTTTCAACAAATAGTGTAGGGGAAACTGGATATCTGCATGCAAAAAGCATGAAGCTAGACCCTTACACAACTCCATACATAAAAGTTAATTCAAAACAAATCAAAGGCCTAGCCATAAGAGCTAAAACTATAAAAGTCTAAGAAGAAAACACGGGAAATCTTTACTACATTGGATTGGGAAATGATTTCTTAACACCAAAAGCACAGTCAATAAAATTTTTTCAAATAGATAAATTGGCATTGATCAAAATTAAAACTTTTTGTGCATCGAAAGACACTATCAACAGAACAGGAGATATTTGCAAATCATATATCTAATAAGAGGTTATTATTCAGACTATATAAAGAATTCCTATAACTCAATTTTTAAAATGAACAATTCAATTTTTAAATGTGCAAAAAACTTGACTGGCATTTCTCCAAAGAAGATACACTAATGGTCAATAAGTACATGAAAAGATGTTCAACATCATTAATTTTTACAGAGATGCAAATCAAAACCACAATGAGATACCACTGCACACCTATTAGGATGGCTCTTGTAAAACAAACAAACCAAAAGAAACAGGAAATAACAAGTGTTGGTGAGGATGTAGCGTGACTGAACTTTTGTGAACACAAAATGGTACAGCCACTATGGAAAACACAATGGCTATTTCCCAAAAATTAAATATAAAATTTCCATATGATCAAGCAACTCCTATTTGCTGTATATACTAAAAGAATGGAAAGCAGAGACTCAGACAGATATTTGTACATCCATATCCATACCAGCATTATTCACAGGAACCAAAAGGCAAAAGCAATCCAAGTGTTCATGGATGGATAAATGGATAAACAAAATGTGGTACATACATAAAATGGAATAATATTATTCAACCTTGAAAAGGAAGGAAATTCTGGCACATGATACAACATGGAGGAACCTTGAAAACATTGTTCTAGGTGAAATAAGCCAGTCACGTAAAGACAAATACGGTATGATTCCACTTATACGAGGTACCTAGAGTTGTCAGATTCGTAGACACAGGAAGCAGAATGGGAGTTGCCAAGACTAAGAGAAGGGGAGAATGAGGAGTCAGTGTTTACTGGATGCAGAGTTTCAGTTTTGGAAGATGAAGGAGTCCCGGAGGGATGGTGGTGATGGTTGCACAACCATGTGAATGTACTTAATGCCACCAAACTATATATACACTTAAACATGGTTAGGATGGTAAATGTATGTTATGCATATTTTGTGACAATGAAAGGGGAAAAAAAAAACAAGACAAAAGGAGAAGAGGACTGGACCCAGGGTCAGGAGACGTGGTTCCAGTGTCATCCCCACCACCCACCAACTGGGGACTTTCCAAGTCAGCTTGTTTCTCTCATCCATACACTGATCGGTTGGATTAATCTCTCCCTAAGGTCTCATCCAGCTCTAAAATTCTCTTCCGCATTCTGCATCTATTTCTTGTGCGCCCGCCACGTGGATTCAGCAGTGAACACAACAGATGGAGGTCCTGCCCTCCCAGAGTTTATATTCTAACCAGATTGATGAACATTAAATACATAAATGCATATAGATGCGTCCGATGAGAAAAATGCTGGTGAGTAAAAGGAGCATATGGAGAGAGAGTGACAGAGTGCTGCGCCAGCTAACGTAGCGAGGGAAGTCCTCTCCAAAGGCGTCATTTGAGCAAAGATCAAAGGAAGGCACAGAGGGAGCCATAAGCCTGTCGGGTTAGGGAGTATTTCAGGAACAACAAGGAGGACACAGGTGGGTTCTGACCTGCACACTGGCTTTTGAAATCCAGAAGAACTGAATACTGAAGAATGCCACAAGCGTCCCTTCTGCCAAGAGCCCTCCTCGCCACCCCCACCAGAGGGGCTTACCTGACAGTGCAGATGTAGGTGCCAGCGTCCTCCTGCAAGACGGGCAGAATCCCCAGAGTACCATCCCGGGCCCACATTCGTGTCTCTTCTCCTGGGACCAGCCTACCAGAGTCATTTCTACGCCACGTCAGGTTGACATGGGGACTGGCAGAAGCCCACAACCAATATGGCATCTGGGGACACCTCAGGACCACCGGCTCCCCTTCCAGCCTGAGTTCCCGTTTGTAATGCTTGCCGCGAAATCGGCAGTTTCCCGCGGCCACTGAAAGATGGAGAGACCACAGTCAGGCTTTGGGTCTGAAACCAGCCCAGATCACAAGACCTCCCTGGTCCTCAGACTGAGCCTGGTGCAGGTAGGAAGACATGGAACACATCCAAGGATAATGGTCACAGGCCCCTCACAAGGTGACCTGCACCCCAGGAACCCTATTAACACTCCTCCATCATTACGATTTCAAAATTCCCAAATAACAAGTTCAGGGCTTCCATCAGTTTCAAATTACATTTTGTGGGGAAAATTAAATCAGGTTTAGATAGAACAACAACAACAAAAGATCTAAAAATCTAGCTATATTTTTCACTTGTTGACTTCTCATTATTAAAAGTAGATCTGAGCCGAGTTCATTTAAAAGTTTAGTTCTGACAGGTCGTGTGGTGAAAATCCAAAGGCCCCTTTTTGTTAAGGACAAACACACCACTTCTCCGGCTTGCTCCTTGGCAGGAGTGACCCACACCCAGGGCACAGCAAAGAGAACAGACAAGAAACACCATCTGTCACTTCCCAAGGTGTGAATATTTTTGATACCAAAAGCTCACTAGACAACTGCTTTCCCCAGAGAAGCTACAGGCAAGCCCTTTCCAGCTGAAGGATTTACTTCTTACCCGTGTGCACCTCGGGTTGAATGGTGAAGGCGGTTGTTCCCATTACCAACATGTGCAAGCTGAACATCATTCCCAACAACTTCCGGAGGACACAGGAAGTAGAGATCTGAGGTCCAGCACCACGTGGCCTAGGGGAGGAGACAGAGGGGTCACCAGGAGCCACAAACCCCCAAAGAGAGAATCCCTTAAAGAGGATCCCAGGGGCAGGATCTGGAGGCTTCACCAGATGACGGAAAGCTTATTGCCTGGAAGTTTTTTTAAAACAGTTTTTGGATTTGCCTCTCTACAGCTGTATTCACACCTAAAGTCAAATCTCTGGAGCCCCCACTGACCCTCTTGGAAAGGGATTCCATATCCTACGCTCCTACCCCTGCAGGAGAGTGCCTGGCAGGCCTTGCTTCTCTTCCTGGGACACTCTCTCCTCGGCTAAGGCCACTGCTCATGGCTACTCCTCCTTCCGGTCCAGGCTCACACGTCGCTCTCTTGGTCCGATCTTCCCTCACCTCCCTGTGGAAAGCCACACCACCCTTCGTTCTCAGTATTCCATCTTTTGCCTTTCTGTTGTGGGTTGGTTTGTTAAGCAACACTGTTGCGGCCATGGTTAGCTGATGAAGGCATGTTCTTGGTGGCATTCCTCACTGACCCTGTCTCCTCTTCTCTCCAGGGCAAGGCTGCATGCGTGTAAGGACCCTGCAACTTCCTACTCACAGGTCTATTCCCAACTCCTGTTTGCAATGAACAAATGTACGAATGAATCACTCAAAGCCCAAAGATCCTCATATTTCACCTGTCAGAGAACATGTGCATATTCTCCACGGATTAACTCTTATGTCACATACAGTTCTGACATACGCTGCTAACTCTCTGGTCTAGAGCATCCTGGGGGGAAAAGCAACAATGAGGTTTAAAAAGGGAATCGTGACTGGGTGCAGTGGCTCGAGCCTGTAATCCCAGCACTTTGGGAGGCTGAGGTGAGGGGATTGCCTGAGCCCAAGGGTTCGAGACCCACCTGGGCAACTTGACGAGACCTCATCTCTACAATAAATCAAAAAGTGAGCCAGGTGTGGTAGCACACGCCTGTAGTTCCAGCTACTTGGAAGGATGAGGCGGAAGGATCACCGGAGCCCAGCAAGTCAACGCTGGGGTGGCCGTGAGCCTGCCACTGTACTCCAGCCTGGGCGATGGAGAGAGACTCCAACTAAAAAAAAAAAAAAAAAAAAAGGGAATCGCTTATACAAATTCATGAAGCAGTCCTCTCCCAAGCCTCCCCGAGACTGGAGTGTCAGGTGCCCTCTGCATCTCCAGGTGGTTTATCTCACAATGTATCACAGCTGTCCCCTCATCAGCTAACCATGGTCACAACAGTGTTGCTCAACAAACCAAACCTGAGTTAAATGGTGTACAACACTCCCACTCCCAGGCCTGTGGGTCAGACAGAGGTCGGCTAACCTAAACCAGGCTGGGTTAAGCACGGCCCCAGCAGCAGGTGTGGTCCAGGTCTGTTGCATGTGTCTCTCCTCCTCTGTGGACCAGTAAGCTTCCTGGAAGATGAGCTTCTCGCGGGATGGCAAAAACGCCAACAATGCGGGCAAAACTAGCTCACTCTCGTCTGCTCACATTCCGCGGGCCACAGCAAGTCAGGCAGCCAAACCTGCCATTGGTGGGGCACGGGAGAGGGAGAGATTGTGCCATCTGCCATGCCTCATTCTTGTCTGGCTCTGCACAGGTGATGACAGCCTTGGGAGAAGAGGCCCGGTCTTGCTCAGAGCTTTTGTGGCGTACCCAGCGCCCAGTTCTAGAATGCACTGGAAAATAGTCATGACTGAGAGGCTACCTGAGACTGTTTGCTGTGGAATGTTTGAACTATAACATTTATCTATCAATTAGGTATACTGCTGTGTATGGTTTGTGAGATTGGCTGACTTGTGGAGTGGCTTGAGCCGGTGTGCCGGCTGTTTTGACCACTGAGTGAAAGGTTAGTACTAACGAGAATTGTCTCTTTGCAAACTCCATGTAGCTCATGGCTTTTGTGATGGAAAAAACGTCAACAGAAGTCGGACTTTGTGGAAAGCCATGAGCATTCATGGACCTGGTTATCTCTGAGCTTGCACTGCTCATGATACCATGATACCATGTCTAACTAATACCATATATCAGAATAAGTAAATGAAGTCGAAGTCTAAGATGCTGGTGCAGGGACTACTGCAACAATAATAGTTTCTGTGCCAAATATTGAGCATCCATTCTCTTATTTTATCCCTATGATGTGAGTATCATACTGATTTTATAGGCAATGTATTAGAAGAGTTCAAAGATGTTAAGAGGCTTGACCAAGATCTTACAGTTAGTAAGAAGACATTGACATTTAAACCCAGAACTGGTGATCCCAGAACTGGTGATGGACACTGCTAGTTTCTTTTCCCAATATCTGTCCATCCTCCCATACTTCCCTGATAAGAAAATCCCTGACCCTTAACTGGGCTATGGTCTCCCAACCAAGACAAGGAGTGGCCATGTGACAAAATATTGACCAATAAGATGTAAGTGGAAATTTGGTGTGATCCTCCTGGGAAATCTCCACCGATCTTTCTTTCTCTATTCAGTGGGGATATGGTGGCTAGATTGTGGCTGCCATCTTGGGCCACAAGGTGCAGACCGTTCGCTGAATGTGGTGAGGCCAAAAGAGAGGAGCATGCATCTTTGGTAGTTTCACAAAGCCACTTGCCACCCTGGACTACCTTCTTTTATGCGTTCAGGTTTCTGTCCTGCACAGCCAAGCCTAACCCTAATATGTTGCCTTTCCAAAGCTTATCAAAAGAACTCAGGGGAAGGAGGCCTACCAGGAACTGTCAGGTGTTGTGTTTTCAAGGCCCTCTTTCTGATACTCAACTGTTTCAAATAAAGAGTTTCTGTGGATTTACTCTAAAAGTCACGTTGACTCAAAAGCAGGAGTTAATGCACAGCCTTTTCTTGGATGCAACAAGCATCCCCTCCCTCCAAGGTTTGTGTCCTGTCAGGTTCAGGCCTTGGATTATGGGAAGGTTGGAACCATATCTAAAATGACTCTGACACCAGAAAGTCAGGCTGTGTCCATTCAGGGGCTGTTGCTAGCCGAAGCTTCAAAGAGCTACAGAGCTGAAGAGTCTTCGAGAAATCTAGTGCAATCGCTTCCTTTTACAGCTGATGAAAGTGAGTTTGAAGTTAAGCCTCTTCTCCAAATCACATGGTTGGCGGGGTGAGAAGTAAGAAGTGTTTCAACAAGGACCCTGTTCCAGTGGAATGAAATCTGAAAATGCCATCCGCCTCCAGAAACTGCCGTCCCTACCTATCCACCCCCACCCCAGCCAAGGGAATTGTCCTGGTTTCTCTCTCCGTGGACTTGGGCAAAATAGCTGCTTTACTGTAACTTCTCCAGGAAGTGGCTTCAGACAAGTAAACCACAAACACATAGTGGTGATGGTTTTCAATAATCAAAACCTCAGAAAAAGGCTGGAACCAAAATTGCTGTAGTGTGAGAAACAGCAAGTCTCTGGCAGGCACAGAGGGAAAAAAAATGAGTTTTGCAGAGACTTGTAGCATAACATTATCCTCCTGCCCTACTTTCTTTAAATGCATTTGAAAGTCACAGACAACTTGACATTTCTGCTGGAATCCGAGTTGACCTTCTTACCGGAAGAAAGACATTTCATGGGAAGTTCGGTCAAGTATTTGAGTTGGAATTCTGTCCCTAATTTTATTTTTTTCAAATGACCACGTTTCACCACAGTCAATGTAAAAAAAAAAACCGAGCTGAGATGAAAAGCAGGGGGACCCAGGCTAAGAAAATGACCAAAATGTGTGAAAAGGTGAAGGAAAAAGAAAGAATGCTGAAGACAAAAAGCTGATAGCTCTGCCCTGAGCTGGACAGATGGCACACAGCATTCCCCTGCAGTACACGCTAGGCCCAGATAACTGCTTACTTGCCTATGATCCCAGCAGCCTGCCTCCTGGCCCCTGGCTTCTGTTCATAAACTATACATGAATGTAACAGTATATAAGTGTTTATGCCACTTTTAGCTTCATTTTTTTTAATTACAAAAAGACTGAAAAACTGAAAGAACAGTATGGTGCACGCAAGTACCTCTATATATATTATAACCTAGATTCACTCATTATTAACATTTTGCTGCATTTTCTTTTTCAGTTTTTTTCTGTCTCATTTTCTCTCTATATATATAAACCCATATACATTTACACACACATATACATATGCACGCACATAAAAAAACAGAATGTATTCATAAAAAATTATGTATTTATTCATACATGTTTAAACTTCAACCACCTTCAAAGGATTCTCCGTTTGATGCAATGCCCCTATCAAAACGCTTTTTCCGCTGTTCAGAACAGATGTTGAACTCATCAGTTTTGAGGTCTTTTAGTTCTTTTGCCGGTTTTTTTGTTTGTTTGTTTCACCTCTCCCACATTGACAAAACGTTTCCCTTTGAGGAATTTTTCCACTTGAGAAACAAAACAAAAAAAATCGCCCAGGGCAAGGTGGGGTGAATAGGAGGGTGAGACATGGGGATCATGGTGGAAGAAGCAGTCAACTGTTTGCCACAACTCAGGATGTTTTCTCCACAAATTGTGATGCCACCTTCTCAAAAATTCCAGATAAAAAATTTGGAGGAACAAATTCTGAGTGTACTGTAAGAAGCCCACCCTCCAAAAGACATCTGGGTTTTTTTGGTTCCCTTCATATATAAACACACATATATATATATATCCATACACACAAACACACACACACACACACACACACACACACATATCCATATACATACATATACATAAACACACATATACATATACTCATTTTCTCCTGAACACCTGAAAATTGCAGACATCATCAAACTTTGCCCCTAAATACTACAGAATACATGCAGAAATACATTTTTAGCAGTTTGAGAACAAGTAATGTATAGCTCCAGAAATAAACCCTCAAGCATGTAAGACGAGTAAACATTTCATTCTATAGCATATTTCAATATGCCCGGACGGAATTCAACCGGAAGAGTAAGCTTTTTAACATTTCTATTCTTACCTTGAACCCGGAAGTTTTTAGGCAACTGCCCCATCTCTGAATCAGGCTACACAGTCATCCAAAGAACACAAACAGGGCGGCAGGTGCTGGGTGTTAATAACAGCAAATCGCTCTCAGCCTTACACACACCACTTAAGTCACCTTGAGTGTGTAGAATGAATTCCTAAGAACCCAAACATGTCTCATGCACATCACATACAACCTTCCAAAACCCGTGGGGAAATAAATATTTACACCAAAAATAAACTTGGAAATGTTTCTAAATTCATGAGTAAAGCAAGACAAAACATATTTTTGAACTAAGTCTCGGGAAATCACAGAATGTTAAGAAGTTTAGAGGTAGGGAGGAACCTCTAGGTTCAGATACAAAGAAATAAATGACCAGATTTGGGGCCGTTTTTGTTGAAAACAGTTACCAGCTCAAAGCAGAACCCCTGTGGCTTGTCCGCAAATTATCTTTGTTCTATAGGGAAGAGTAAAGCTAGTTTGGTTTTGTGTTGGTTTTATTTTATTCCCCCACAGAGTTAAGGGAATTCAACCTCAGAGCAGCATGTTAGGACTGTTTCTGGTCTGCCTAGCCCTGCCAGAATGACAGCTGGTGATGTCCTTGACACTGGTCTCTTATCCCTAGTGGAGCCTGGGGAGATGGAATTACCCCCTGGAGGCCATGTTGTAGGGAGACCCATCTCTGGCAAAATGGGGCATTGAGTCACATTGGGCTGAATCTTAGAGGTACAAATATGCAGAGGCTGATATGGACGGCTCCACCCAGGCTAAATGCTCTCTTTGTATTTTACTTTCTGCTAACGAACATCCCTTCTCACTAAAATCACCACTGACGTAGCTCTTAGTTGGTGGTTCTTAGGGTAGAAGTCACACCATTACCTGTGTGAGCCTCAGTCAGTGTCCTCATCGGTGAAATGGACATATCGTGGTATGCATTATAGGAGGATTAGCAAGATGATCAAGTTCAACCAATCACCCCAACTCATGTTCACCCTCATTCAAATCCTCTATTCACGCATTCCATTCTCAGCGAGCCTGGACCTCTCAGAGCTCCCAGCCCGCTGGATCATCAGAAAAACTCCAGTTTCACCTTCCTCCTGCATCTGGCCCTCCTCCAGGCTGACACCCAGCAAGATCACTCCTCTACTTCCGAAGAGCTGCCATTCTCCAAAATGATTCCCATTTTTGGCTCTACCCATGAGCCCCTAGGCATCTACCGGGTAAATTCACAGGCTTCAAATTTTCCCAGCCTGCTCATTCAACTCCAGAGATCAACACTTGTGAGTCTGGTAGAGTGCAGCATCCCTGTTCTAAACATGGAGCAAGAGAAATAGACCCAGATACATTAAGTCCCCTGCCCAAGATCACAGAGCTAACAGAACGATAAAGTAGGCTGGAAACCCAAGTCTACACAATCCTCAGTCTTGGTGCACATTCTCTGCTCTGTAGAAGCATCAAAACCCAGGCTTAGAGGAGCTCTAGAAGCCATTAAATTCAGCTGTCCACCCAAACGGCCTTCCCAAACCCAGCACTCCCTAAAGATGGCCAAGCTCGCGCCATCACAAGATGGGTTCTTCCAGTCTTGGGAAGTCTCCATGATCAGAAACATCACTATCATCTTGGGACCAAAATTTGCCTTTCTCTAGACTCCATTTATGGGTCAGATTCTACCCTCAGGGTGGCTCAGAAAAAGTCTGTCTGCACCTTCCAACGACTCTAAGAGTTAGAGAGTTTATACAAAAGAGATTCGTGGAAAGTTCATGAATAGAGCAAGTGGGAATCCTGCCTTCCTTCCTGCCAGCAGGAGGGTCACAGGCAGGTCACATTACCTGTGTGGGACTCAGTGTCCTTGTCAGTGAAATGGACATACCCTGGTGTGCATTACAGGAGGATTAACTGTTACATGATATGTAAAGAGCTCAACACAGTACTGCAAAGACAAAGAGCTCCACAAGCAGTAGCTCTCATCAGCATGTCTCAGAAGCAACCCCATCTACTCAAGGAGGTAAATTATTTGTCAAGGACTCATAGCTAGCAAAACCAAGTGAGAAGTCAGAGCTTCCAGGGTCTGTGTTCTACCTAATTTCTGCTGAGGATCCATTCCATAGCCCAACCTGAGAACTTTCTGGTATCATAGGTGGCAGTAACTAGCTACCACCAGTTACTATACTAGAAATGTGTGCAACTTTGCCTGATGAAATCAATAAACCTAAGCACATAAGTCTATATTATGTTTAACATATAAACACACAATCACAGACACACACATACATATATATACAAGACCTGCCAGGAGTTCTAAAAGTTTTGTCTTAGGGACAGAATCTTTAAGCACTCAGAACTGGAGGTTGGAACTGGGCTCCTGTCTTTACCCTTAACTAACTATGTGAAATCTCAGGCAACCATAGTGTCATTTTCTCAATCTGGATCACAATTTCATCTCTAAAATACAGAGGTTGTGCTGGTGAGACCTCCCAAACCCCTCACAGGTATGAAACCCAGGATTCTAAGTCAATCTGGATTCAAGCTTAGGCCTCCTTGGTCCTGGTTACAGCTTCAGTTTCTAAAGCATCAAGTGAGAAAAATTAACCACTCAACCAAGTCAGCTCACTTGCTGAAGTTCCCAAAGCCAGAAAGGCAGAGCCAAGACTTGGGGCTTCTGAGTTCCCCTGAGCTCTGCAGGGCTACCCAGTGGGTAACGTTAATTAGTAACTGGGCATTCTACTGGCATGGGACAGTGAGCTGGCGGTTAGAGGATATACACCCTTAAACTAAACATTGCTTCCAATCTCTTATAATCTAAGTGCAAGAAACACCTCAAATATTTGAATAACCGGTCATCCAGAAAACTCACCCACCTGAAATATGACAAAAACAGAAGAAAACAAGGACAGAAATATCTGCATAGCTAAAAAATAGGCAGCAGGAGCCCGATACAAAAGCATGTAGTATGTCTTACTCACGGAAGAAGCTTTGGGTCTTCCTTCAGAAGCTCTTGCTGTTTATTTGAATGAGTGTAGCTAGTTTTTCAAAGTAGCAGACTGTATTTGCCAAAGATGTCCACAACAATATCTTCCATCCTACATGGTCTTCTAGAATGTGACCGTGCCACTCTGCCAATAGGAGGTAGAGTCCAGCTCACCTCTCTTGAATGTGGGCTGGCCTGTCACTTGTGTGTAAGCAAGAGGATACTGTGTGGACTCCAAAGCCAGGTCAGAAAAGCCCATGCAGCTCATGCAGCTTCTACCTGCTTTCCTTGAGACATTCGCTCTGGACAAAGTCAGCTGACATAAAGTCCAGCTGCCCTAAGTCCACCTCACCAGACAGGCCATGTGTAGGGAGTCTGGCTGACAGTCCCAGCTATGCCCAGCCTTCTGGGAAACCCCTCAAAGGCACCAGCATGTGAGTAAAGCCATCTTGAACTCCTGGGATGAGTCCATTCACCAACTGAGCACCACTGTCTGAACTCAGTCGGGCACCAAGGAGCAGGAGAATGCCTCACTGAGCCCTTCTCAAGTTCACGACATACAGAAGTTTGAGTTATAAGAAAATAGTTGTTCTTTTGAAGCGCTAAGCTTTGGGGTAGTAACTCATGCAGCAACAGATGAACAGAATGAAGGTCAAAAGCAGAATCCCCCCCAAAAAAGCAGGCTGGGCACGGTGGCTCACACCTGTAATCCCAACACGTGGGGAAGCTGAGGTGAAAAGATTGCTTGAGCCCAGGAGTTCGAGACCAGCCTGGTCAATTAGTGAGACTTCATCTCAAATAGGTAAATACATACATAGATGCAGATTCCTGGTAGCAGATTAGAAATAGGGTTGGTAAAAGAAAACACACAGGGAAAAAAAGTGGCAGCTGATTGCCCAAGAACAGGAGACAGAAAAGCCATTAAGAAAGGCATAAGGACCAATGAGTACAGCAGTCTGCGACTTTGAGGCAGACACAAAAAAGTCCCCTCTACATTACCGTGCCCTACTGAGGATGTCAGGATGTCACAGCACAAGATCATTGACATTCCTGATTATTTGCATGAACCATAAAGAACAGTTCAAATTGTGCCCAAAGCCCTCTTCCTCTAGTAAGTAATACAGGCAGTGAAGATAATATTTTAATTATCTCCCCATGTGCTTCCCTTCTTGCTGATCCGGATTTTTCTACCATTGCCACCCCAGGAAAGGGGAAGATCAAGCCTCGGGAAGGAGGGAAGGAAGTAGATATGATGTAGGGGAAATTCCTTCCTGGTAGGAAGGGGAAGTAGAAGAAAAAGACCCTTTGAGCTCCAGAGCAAAAGGAGGAAGCGTGCACGTGTAGGAAGACAGACAGTCTTGCTGCCTGTTCTGAGTTTGAAACCTGAGAGCAAGGGACAAGAGGGAAAAGAGAGAGGATGTAATTCCGACTCCTTGGAAGGCTGAGGCGGAAGGATCGCCGGACCCCAGCAGATCGAGGCTGCGGTGGCCGGGAGCGGCCACTGCACTCCAGTCTGGGCGATGGAGTGAGACTCCAACTCAAAAAAAAAAAAAAGAGAGAGGAAAGCTGGAAGCAGAGGAACTCTCCCTGGGTTTCCAAACTGCATTTTTAGGGGAGCCTCAGCTTGACGAGGTAAGGGGTCCGAGGGCAAAATGGAAATAATGGTGTGAAATGTTAGGTGAAATGATGCTAGGGTCAGATCCCTATGGACCTCAGTTCTTCAATGATGGAGAGATTCAGAGCATTCCCTGCACTTCCAGCAGGGAAGGGAAGGTGGCCTGAGATCTGGACAGAGATCAGGCTGCCACGATGACGGGCAAGGTGACCTGGAGCTGAGGCTGCAGGATATTCAATCACTAAGGGGCCATGGGCCAGAGGTGGGAAAACAGCCCTACATTTCAGTAAATAACCACTTAGCCAAGGTACTGGGCTCCCTGCTCTCTGTACCTTAGGAGAATTTTTTTTTTTTTTTTTGAGTTGGAGTCTCACTCTGTCGCCCAGACTGGAGTGCAGTGGCCTCTCCCGGCCACCACAGCCTCGATCTGCTGGGCTCCCGCGATCCTTCTACCTCAGCCTTCCGAGTAGCCGGATTACAGGCATGTGCTACCACGCCCGGCTGATTTTTTGATTTATTGTAGAGATGAGGTCTCGCTGCCCAGGCGGGTCTCGAACCCGCGGGCTCAGGCAATCCACTCACCTCAGCCTCCCAAGCGCGGGATTACAGGCTCAGCCACCAAGCCCGGTTCTTTAGATTTTCATGATCCAGCAGCAGATACTGTATCATGTGCTGTGACCAGCTGGTGCTCATTCCCTACCTGTTGCTAAATATTTTGAGTATCAGGTGAAAAGTCTAAGCGAGGGCAGAGACAAGATCATGGTAAAACGCAGAGGACCTCTAGAGCCAGGAACAGCCCAGTGGGGCCAAGTTGGCCAGAGCACTGGCTCTAACTCAGCTGAGGCAACAGACCTGGGATTTTCTCAGCCGTGGACCCCAGCAGGACATTCAGCTGGACACTCTGTAACCAGGCAAGTCTAGGGACATCTCCATAGAAGCCAGTGAAGACCCCCAATTCAGCACGTGTTGCTCTCCACCATTCCCTAGGGACACAACATCCCCCCATTCTCAGGCTCCTTCCTCACTAGAAGAAGGTGTCCATGAGAACCTGGAAAACTTAGCATCTGCACAAAAGAAGCGAAACGAATCCCAGAGTGGCATGTCTGAGACAGAAGTAACTTGTAGTAGCAGATTTCGCTCCCTCTCCCTAGGAAAAAAGGAACCTCGGAGCCAAGTGAACTTCTTCCTAGAAAAGCTATTAAAGGTACTTTTCTCTTTGGCATCGATCCGTAGGAATATAAATTTCGATCATTTTATATATGAGGAGGAGACCCCCCAAAAAAAACAGAATTTCATATTAAAAAATTGTGCATTTATTCTTACATGTTTAGACTTCAGTCACCTTCAAAGTACTCCCCATGTGATGTAATACTTTTCAAGATGCTCAAAAGTTTTTGAACTTGTCAACTTTAATACCTTTAGTGCTTCTGCCATTTTTTGTTTCACCTCTTCCACATCGGCGAAACATTTCCCTCTGAGGACTTTTTTCATCCAGGAAAAAAAAGTTGCTGGGGCAAGACGGGGTGAATAGGGAGAGTGGGGTACAACGACCATGCTGGTTTTGGTCAAAAACTGTGGAACACCCAGCACAGCATGAGCAGATGCTCTTGTAAATCACCCATCATGAAATGGACAAACATGTTGAAAGAATCTCCAAAACAAGCTCACTGAAACTGAATGCAGCCTCTCATAACAACGCTAGCTGATAAACTGATGCCAACAGGTTCCTAGAACACTCACCTAGTCAGGGAAGCCTATACTACAGGGGGCATGCCCTCCAAAAAATAATTCCGGTTTTTTGGGGTCCCCCTCACATATATGAAATATTTTCTTCCAAAATTGCTAAGGTGTCAAAACAGAGGAGATTTTCTTTTCATGCAAAATTATCTTCCACTGTCTGGAAATTGTGTCCACCTAGAATGGCTTGTCCTCTGAAGGTCACCAAGGACAGAAACTACCCTGAACCCTGCATCAGGATGTATGTCCTTAAGAAAAGATAATGGCTGGGCTTGGTGGCTCAGCCTGTAATCCCAGCACTTTAGGAGGCCGAGGCAAGTAGATTACCGAGTCCGTGGGTTTGAGACCAGCCTGGGCAACTTGGTGAGACCTTGTCTCTACAATAAATCAAAAATTAGCTGGGCATAGTAGTGCATGCCTGTAGTTCCGGCTACTTGGAAGGCTGAGGCAGAAGGATCACCAGAGCCCAGCAGGTCAACCCTGGGGTGGCTGTGAGTGTGCCACTGCACTCCCGTCTGGGTGACAGAGTGAGCCTCCAACTCAAAAAAAAAAAAAAAAGAAAAGGTAACAATCAAACTCCCATCCTCCCTCCCCAAAAAAGACTGAAAAAAACCCAATGATTTTTATCTATACTGTGTGGGAAAACCCCTCACCTCTCACTACATGAAAACCTGATCTTTACCTTGGAGACAACCCAGACTTACTGGATTTTCCACAGACTGAAAAAGTCCCCCCAGGAAACCCTGGCTGTCCCCTGGGGCTGTGGGCAAGTGTCCCATTCCCACTCTTAGCCCCTCTGGCTTCTCTTAGCCATCAGATGTCTGACCAGCTTGCTCCCTGGCAGTGAGAACAGCCCTGTGAAGCTTGGTGAGGCGAAATCCTGCATCCTTTCCCCGCCCTCCAACTGTCCCAACTGAACATCCAATATGGTAGATGTACTCGTGTTCACCAATATTCCCTCCTCTGCACTTCTACCAAAGTCAGACATGACACATGGCTGGGAAGGACAGGTGCTGTTCCTGGTTCCTGGTTGCTGGTGCTCTGCCCTCCAGCCTGTCTCCTCCTGCTACAGGGAACCCCAAGCCCTTGTCTCTCGATGCTGCCAGCAGAGCACGGTCAAGCCATCTTGCCAGGAGGCTGAGGTTTACCTCCATTCACTCACTTGCTCCTCCTGTATCTGTTTCTCCTTCTAATAAATAGAAATATGGCTCCCTCCCAGCACTCGTGTCAAAGCAGTGTGCGTCGCACAGAGGGTCTCTGTAAATTTTGCTGTGAAAATGGCCTATGTCCTCCAGTGGCCACGATGAGTCATCACAGCCTGACATTTTGACCACAATGACCATGACGCAGCATGAGCAAGAAATAAATGTGTATTGTATAAAGTTACTGGGATGTTTTAGGTTTTTCCTGTAGTACCCCTTGAACTGGCAGCCATAGCAACCAAAGAGAAGGATGAGGACACTGTACTTGTTTTCTATTGCCATGTAACAAACCACCACAAATGCAGTCACTTGAAACAAACTCATTTGCTGGTGCTCTTGACTGTGGGTCAGATGTCTGAGCTTGGCTTGAGTAGAGTCTCTGCTCAGGGTATCACAAGACTTAAGTCAAGGTGTTGGTTGGGCTATATTCTTTCTGGAAGCTCAGAGCACTGTTCTAATCTCCACAGTGGTCATTGAGACCCCCACTCTCTTGCTTGATGGAGACCACTCTCAGCTACGAGATGTCGCCTACCATTTCCTGAACAGTGGCCCTCTCTACAACAAGGCAGTTTGTTTCTTCAAGGCCAACAGAACA